GGAGGAGGGAGATCGGGCCGGAAGAACACCGAAGAGTCGTGGTTTTCCGGCGATCCAAAACACCTCCAAAATCGACCCCACTGGTATAAGCTTGTGCGCGCCGACGAGAGGAGCACGGGAGTGGTTTTGGATTTTAATTTGGAGCTCCGGTGAGGGAGTTATGGCCGGAAAACCACCTGAGAAGGAGGAAGGGCGATTTTCCGGTGAAGGAGAGAGAGGGTGATTATGGGCGTAGCCCGGTTTTAAATCTCAGGGGGAAATTACGGGCAAAATTACGACCGTATTTGCCCACTCCTGCCCGTAATTGCAACGCCGAGAGCATACTTCCCCCTTGTGCTAATTACGGGCAAAATTACGACCGTAATTGGTCCAATCCTGCCCGTAATTGCACTGTCGAGGCTCTTCTCCTCTTCTGGGTTAATTACGGGCAGGGGGCATGAAGATTACGACCGTAATTGGTCCCCCCTTTCCCGTAATTACACTGCCGAGATCCCTTTTCTCCAATTTTTAAACCGCAATTTCGAACAACCACAACCATTCGTGCCCCAGCTCGAAAATAGACACTTCCATAGACAAAAACAGATCATCTGGGGCACGAAAAGCATTCCAAAAGGCTCCAGACAGACCCAAAGACTCAAAAACCAACAAAAAATGAAAAGGAAAAAGGACAGAAATACAAGTCGTGGTGGGGTTGCCTCCCCACAAGCGCTTCTTTACCGTCTTTTAGCTGGACGCCAGTAGAGGAACTAACGGTTCCCGAGCTTGATCAGCAGCTCTGCACGCTCGATAGCACCTCCCAAGTACAACTTTAGGAGGTGGACATTTACCTTGAATGGCACAGTTTGAGCATTGCTGATCTCCACCGCACCGTGCGGGAAAACTTGGGTGACCGTGAAGGGTCCCGACCACCTCAAACGTAGCTTGCCCGGGAAGAGTTTCAGGCGTGCATTGAAGACCAGAACACGATCACCGACCTGAAAATCCTTTGGGCCCCTCAACCGAGCGTCGTGGAGACGCTTGGTTCGCTCTTTGTAGAGCAGGGTGTTCTCGTAAGCGTGGTATCGCCACTCCTCCAACTCCAGCAGCTTCAACTTACGTTCAATACCTGCAACACTCAAATCCAAGTTTAGCAGCTTAAGGGTCTAGAAGGCCTTGTGCTCTAGCTCTACTGGCAAATGACACGCCTTCCCATAGACAAGCCTATAGTGAGAAGTGCCAATCGGGTTTTTGTAGGCCGTCCTATATGCCCAAAGAGCATCATCGAGCTTGGTTGACCAATCCTTGCGGGACTGATCCACCGTCTTTTCAATTATTCGTTTAAGCTCTCGGTTCGTCAGCTCGGCTTGCCCATTTGATTGGGGATGGTAAGCCACCGACACCTGATGCTTAACACCATAGCGAGAGAGGAGTTTAGTGAATTGTCCTTGAAAATGGGTTCCTCTATCACTAATGATGGCGCGAGGTGTCCCGAACCGGGAAAACAACTGCTTCAGAAATGAGCAGACACGTCTTGCATCATTGGTGGGCATGGCTTGAGCTTCTGCCCACCTCGAGACGTAGTCCACTGCAACCAATATGTACAGATTGTCAAAAGATGGAGGGAATGGGCCCATGAAATCGATACCCCAAACATCAAAAATTTCACAAATGATAGAAATATGTTGGGGCATCTCATCCCAGGAAGAAATGTTACCTGACTGATGCTCTAAAACACAACACCTAACAATGGCCAAGTGTAACCAATGAAAGAGACTGCAGTATAGTGGCACAAGTAATAAATATCGAATCCACGGGTCTCTAGAGTTACTATTACTCAGCTTCAGTTCATTATCTAGCAAACTAGATTAAGGATTGATTAACCAAACTACTCTACTAACTAAACTAAGTAAAACTACTAATTACAGTTTGGGAACTCACTTAGGTATGATTCCCCCTAGCTCCTCAATTAGGTCCAAGTTGTAATTCCTTTTGGTTGATTTACTATTGATTAAACTGCGGAAGATCCGACAGTAGTTTGGAATCTCTTAAGCTGACCAAACCCTCTCAGTCTAACTATCCGGCAGACGACTAGTCTTCACCGGGATAGAAAGCTGAAGCAATAAGCACAGAACTCCACTACTGGAATTGGATTCCAGTACAAAGCAGTAAACTGGCTAACTCTCGTATAGCCAATCTCCTACTACCGAATGATGAGACTCTAGCAACCTAATCAGATTCTATCTATCTCAGATTGCAGCAGGAATCAGGAAAAGTTGATCAGACTTCAATTGACTCAATAAACATGCATCATTCGATTATAATCAAACAATATAGCATCCAAAACTTCATACAAGAAAGATCCTAACTCATGGAACTAAGGTTCCTCAAAACCTAAGTGAAGAGAAGTTACTCCATAGAGAAGAGAGAGACTGCAGAAATCTGATCTAGATCTTCAATCTCCATCTCCAAGCTTGATTCCCGAGCTTCAATGGCGAAGAAATCCTCCAAAATAGCTCCAAGAACGTTCCCAAGTCGCTCTCTCTCTCTAGGGTTCGTCCCTTGGGTGTTTGGGATCCAAAACCCAGCTCTCCCTCTTTCCTTTTGCTGAAAATCGGGTTTTAAACAGCAATTCCCGACTCACACGGCCAGGCCACACGGCCGTGTGGCTTTCCCATCTGCCCGTGTGAGCCCTCGGTGATTTCCACACGGCCACATGGCCAGGTCACACGGCCGTGTGGGTTGTGCCCGTGTGGCTTGCTCAGCCTCTGTTTAATGCTTCGTTTCTCCCTCGTCCGGACTCCGAATCAGTCCCCGTTTGATCCCAGACGCTCGTAGTCTCGTCCTCTTTCTTTTCATACAAAGCTTGCATGATTATTTGTCCATAAAGTAAGGTAGAAATCCATTCTTCTTCAGGTCATGCCCGAGTTTCTTCTCTCGAATCGTCAATTGATCTCTGATTGATTTGAAACTTGCGCCTATGCTTCACTTTATGTGCTAGGACCTGAAATGTGACAAAGGAACATAACCTAGCATAAAATAGGCCAAAGACACGATAATTCAAGCTCAAACAATCAAGAAACAAAGGGGAAAACATGTGCAAATACCGAGTCATCACTGACCTTTGGCAGCGATCGCACTGTCGTGCGAAGGTGTCTGCATCCTTGAAGAGCGAGGGCCAAAAGAAGCCCGACTGTAGCACCTTTCGCGCTGTGCGGTGTCCTCCATGGTGACCTCCAGTAGGTCCCTCGTGGCATTGAGACAGGATGTCTCCCATCTCGTGCTCCATGACACAACGCCGGATCACGCCATCTGCTCCGATCCTGAAGAGGTAAGGATCCTCCCATAAGTAATGCTTCAGGTCGGAGAAGAACTTGCGCTTGGCATGAGTGGCCATCCCCTGTGGTAGCTGCTTGCCCACTGGATAATTGGCAAAGTCAGAATACCAAGGGACCACGCTGTCCACCAGTGTCATCGCCAACAATCTCTCACCCGGGAAGGAGTCATTGATCTCTTCCACGAAGTTGTCCACCGGAGGGGCTTCCAACCATGAAAGATGATCTGCAGCAACATTCTCGGCTCCCTTCTTGTCCCGGATCTCTATATTGAATTCCTGTAGAAGCAGGATCTAGCGGATGAGTCTAGGCTTTGCAGCAGCCTTGCTCATCAGGTAGCGAATCGCCGAGTGGTCAGTGTAGACCACCACATGGGAGAGCACCAGATAGGGTCGGAACTTATCAAATGCATACACCACAGCAAGGAGCTCCTTCTCAGTGGTGGTGTAATTCTCCTGTGCATCGTTCAAGGTCTTCGACGCGTAGTAGATGGGATGGAAGTGCTTCTCGCGTCTCTGACCCAGAACTGCTCCAACTGCATAGTCATGTGCACCGCACATCAGCTCAAAAGGAAGAGACCAGTAAGGAGTCGCCATGATAGGTGCATGGGTAAGCTTCTCCTTCAGAGTCTCGAATGCAGCTGTGCACTCAGGAGTGAACTGGAATGGTGCATCCTTCTCCAGCAGCTTGGTCAAAGGCAAGGCAAACTTCGAGAAATCTTTAATGAAGCGCCGGTAGAAGCCTGCATGACCCAGAAAACTGCAAATCCCCTTCACGGAAATGGGAGGAGGTAGCTGACTGATCGTATCAATCTTCTCGCGATCCACTTCAATCCACTGCTTGGAGATCTTGTGCTCGAGCACAATCCCCTCACGGACCATAAAATGGCACTTCTCCCAGCTGAGTGCCAGATTAGTCTCCTCGCACCTCTTTAGAACGAGTTCCAGGTTATGGAGACAATGAGTGAAGGAGTCTCCATACACCGAGAATTCATCCATGAAGACCTCCATGATCTCCCTAAATAGTCGGTCGAAGATCGCCAGCATGCATCTCTAGAAGTTTGTCGGACCATTACAAAGCCCGATGGAATCCTCCGGTAAGCAAAAGTACCGAAGGGGAAAGTGAATGTGGTCTTCGCCTGATCCTCTGGTGCAATAGGAATCTGGAAATAACCAGACATGCCATCCAGGAAGCAATAAAACTCATGACCAGCCAACCTCTCCAGCATCTGATCAATGAAAAGTAGGGGAAAATGATCTTTCCTGGTGGCGTAGTTCAGGCGCCGGTAATCGATGCAGACTCTCCAGCCGGTCACGGTCCGCATCGGGATCAACTCTTTCTTCTCATTCGGGACCACAGTCATTCCGCCTTTCTTCGGGACCACCTGAGTGGGGCTGACCCACTTTCTATCAGATATAGCAAAGATGACCCCTGCATCCATGAGCTTCACAATCTCTGCCCGGACCACTGCCTCTAAGTTAGGAGACAATCTCCGCTGTGGCTGCCTGACTGGCTTAACCTCATCCTCCATCAAAATTCTATGGGAGCATAAGGGTGGGCTAATGCCTCTGATGTCTGTGATCTTCCATGCCATGGCCTGGGCATACTTATGCAGCAGAGCCACCAGCCTGCTCTTCTACTCGGTTGTCAGATCCGAGCTAATAATAATCGGGAGCTTATTCCCCTCCCGGAGAAATGCATACTCCAGGTGACAGGGGATGGGCTTAAGCTCCAGCTCTGGTGGCTCCTCCAATGATGTAGCGATCCGGGGCGAGATAGGGATCAGCTTGAATGTATCTCTCGCCCCTCGATCGCGGCCTCGTCTAGCTCCGCGAGCTGCTCCTCTAGCTGCACGTCCTGTGATGCATGTTCCCTTAGCAAAAGACAACGCTCGAGGAAATCATCAGTACCCGCACTAGTGACGGCGAGTGTAGTCTCAAAATCAGCAACAACATCACAGTAGTCTAGATCATCATGGAGCTAGGGGTGTTTCATATTATCAGAAACAGATAAGGTGATTTGTTCACCCCCAGCTCGCAAAATCAATTTCCCATCATTCACATCAATGAGCGCCTTGGAGGTGGCGAGAAAAGGTCTACCCAATATTAATGGCACATCCACATCCTCATTTATGTCCAAAATCACAAAATCAACAGGATATGAGAACGGCCCTACTGTGACTATCAAGTCCTCTGCAATGCCCCTAGGATGCACAATGGATCTATCAGCAAGTTGAATGATCATCCTAGTATCACTAGGTTCACCTAGGCCTAGCTTTTTAAACAGTTTATATGGCATAACATTTATGCTAGCGCCTAAATCCGCCAAGGACTTCCCTATATGAAAACTACCAATCATGCAAGGGATAGTAAAACTCCCTGGGTCTTTTCGCTTCTCTGGTAGTTTGTTCTGCAGGATGGCAGAACACTCCTCGTTGAGCATCACCATTGACAGCTCCCCAAGCTTCCTCTTGTTGGTGAGGAGATCCTTCATAAACTTGGCATACTTGGGCATCTTCGATAATGCCTCCACGAAGGGCATGCTTATGTTTACCTGCTTCAGCATTGCCATGAACTTGGCAAACTCAGTCTCCAGTCGGTCTTTGTGCAACCGAGTAGGAAAGGGAAGTTGCGGTACATACTCCTTCACCACTGGTTGCGGTTTAGGAGCAGGTCCCTCAACCTCCTTCTCCATTTCCTCCTCATTAGCTGGAAGTGCTGAAGCAAGGGTCTCTCTCTCTTGTGCCCGAACAGGTGGATCAGCAGTCACCTTGCCACTCCTGGTGGTAATGGCCTTGCAGTGTTCATTTGGGTCCTGCGGATGAGGGATAGTCTGACTGGGTAGAGTACCAGGAGTCCTCTGAGCTACAGCCTGGGCAACACTCCCAATCTGGGTCTGGATATCCTTCAAGATAGCCTGTGTGTTCCTCTGGCCAGCTTCAAGAGCCAGGAATTTACCCGAGGCTTTTTCCATGAACTGCTCGATAGTGTTGAATTTCTGAGCACTTGAACAGGCAAGAGAACCCACCAAGTCCCACAATTCAGCCATCAGGTCACTTTGTATTGGGGCTGCAGGCGCTGCCTCTGTCTGATGAAATGGCTGCACCTCTGACTGAGGTAGAACTAGCCCCTGTCCGGCAGGTAGAGAGGCTATTGCGGCTGCTGAAATTGCCCTTGTCTGGGCTGGTAAGGAGGCCTCTGGAAGCCAGGTGGTCCTTGGGGACTGGTGGTCTAGAATTTGCCCCACCCCAGGAGAAGTTGGGATGCTGGCGCCACCCCTCGTTGTAAGTGTTGTTGTAGGGATCGAAGCGCCTGGCATTGCCGATGAAGTCCACCTGCTCCTGGGGGGTGGAAGACTCCCTCATTGCCTAACAATCCTCCACGGTGTGATGAGAACTCACAAACCACTGGCAGTGCATCGCCTGCTGTTGTCCAGTACCTGCAATCATCCCAGAGCGATCGATGGCTGAAACCAGCTTCGACACCACCTGCACCAAATCAGATGACTGGGTGGCTACAGCATGCACACCCCGCCCTGGTGCTCGTCTCGATCTTCTCGCAGTTCCCCAGTCATAGCCCTGCTCTGCCATCTCTTCAAAGAGTTGATTCAGCTGTGGCGGTGTTTTGGTGAGCATGTTCCCGCCACATACCGAGTCAATTAGCTGCTTGTCTTCCGGTAAGAGGGCATGGTAGAAGGTGCCCACTTTGAAGGCGTCAGTAAAACCATGGTTGGGACACTTGAGGAAGAGACTGGTGTATCTCTCCCAAGCATCCCGGATGGTCTCATCTTCATCCTGAGCAAAGTGGGTAATTTGCTTCTGCAGGTCCGCCGTCTTGGACGGAGGATGGTAGCGAGTGAGAAACTTGTCCGCCAGGTTGGCGAACGTGGTGATTGAACCTGGAGGTCAAGTGTCTAGCCACTCGTTGGCCTGCCCCTCCATAGTAAATGGGAAGTACCTCAGCTGGATGGCATCGACTAGAACCCCATTTATATTGATCCCATCGATGAGCTCGTGGAATCACCTCAAATGTGATCGGGGGCATTCCCCCTCTTTGCCACGCAACACTACCGAACCGCGCAACATGGGTACTCGCGGGTTTTTGTCGTAAAAAATTTACAATAACAAGCTCTTATCAAAATTAAAGTCAAATATCAATCTCTCAATACAAAGTATCCATATATAAAACACCATTCTAGAAAATTCAAGTAAATCACAAATTAACTATACAAAGTGTTCAACACTAATCTAGAAAACTCAAGAAAATTGAAGCAAATCACAAATTATCCATAAATACATGATTAATTGAAAGCTTCTTCCTTTCAATTTTCTTCACTCTCCACTCGATAACATCAACTTCATTCTACACAATTAGAAAGAAAAAATTAGACATGTCTCCACAAACATAAATAAGACTAATTGTTTAGAATATTAAATATACCTAGAAAATTAATTATATGGGTGTGGGTGGATACCCATGGGGCGAGTTTACCTAAACTCAAACCCAGCCGGTTAAATAGTGAACGGGTTTAAACCCAAACCCGGCTCAAAACCCGTCAACACAGATTTTACCCGCGTTGACCGGATTGGGTCGGGTGGGTACCCGTGGGTTCGGGTTTTATTGCCATCCCTAAACTAATACAACAACCAAATTAACCAAACTAAAGTTTAATCGGTTTGGTTAATTGGTTAACTAAAATAACCAATATAACATCACATTATCATTAAGTGAGAAAATTTTCTGGTTAGTGCATCAATTCGCCATTTATATAATGAATAACACCTATCAATCAACACATAATTATAGCTAACCCTTTACATAAATATATGTAACAAATACAATTATCTCCCTTAACATAAATACATGTAACAAATACAATTGTCTTACAATTAAGTGATTATGTAAAGTATTAAGTATGTGTATATAATATATATTAGATATATGACTAATTATTTAACTGATTAATTTGGTCTGATTGGTTAGAAGTGTATAAAACCAAACAAAATCAAACCATCGAAACCAAACAAACTAAAAAATTTAATTAAAACAAACCAATTAACCAAATTAATAAAACCAAATTGGTTAAATACTACTGGTTAAAACAATTACAACAACAACAATGTCAATTGAACACCCCTAGTTGCCCAGGTTTGTTTTGCTTTGTTGTTTTCTCCCCTTATTTTGATAACAACAACGGGAATTGGGAAGTGGGTGAAACGAGCCAAGCTTAGCTACCTACGTAACAAGTAAAATCACCTGAAGAATCTTTTCCAAAGCCCAAAAATGGTAACATAGCAATCTCATTACAGGATTATACGAATCATACGGGAATTATTTGAATCTACACAAGACATATCATCACCTTCTTCTCTCGACAATTACAGGATCAGGGAATCATTAAAAAAAAAAGACCAAAATATAACATATCGATCCATCGCCTAGCGGTAGTAGGGAAGCCGCACAAATATGAAACGTCAGTTACTCGTCTATGCCTGAGAAGATTCAAGCACAAAAAAGTTAGGAATTGTGATACTGAAGCTACCGTTCACACGAATCAGTTGAAACTGTAGGGTATATACCTTGTTTGCAATGTTATTGGACAGCCAATCCAGTCCCTCGTAAAGCCCTTCACCGGATGTAGCACAGGTGCTCTGGATATACCTGAAACAGAATCATCCATTAGTGACGAGCTAGCCATTTCCCTCATAATTGCCCTTCACCAGATGTAGCAGATGTCCACTGGACAAACTTGTGAGAAAAACAACTGTGAAGCGAAACAAAATAGTATACCAGTGGCGCTGACGAAGGGAATGAAGGCCGAGCTTATCAGTGATCTCAGCAGCATTCATGGCATTAGGAAGATCCTGCTTGTTTGCAAAAACAAGGAGAACAGCATCCCTCAACTCATCCTGCATATTGGACAGGGGGCAGAAACGGGGAGATTAGAGATGAAAGAACAAGCTTCAATTATGACTTGTGAAAATCTAGCTCAGAGAAATATGTATGAACACACCTCGTTCAACATGCGGTGGAGTTCGTCCCTGGCCTCCACAACACGGTCACGATCATTGCTATCAACCACAAAGATCAGTCCCTGGGTGTTCTGGAAGTAGTGTCTCCACAAGGGTCGGATCTGTTGTCAACAACAACAACACAGTCCATTTACAAACAACATACAATTATAGAAGTCCATGCAACCTACTTTAGCTGCCAGAATCATATACAAAAGTGTGATACATAGAAGCCAAGACAAAAGAAGATGTGAGTAGGAGAATGGCAAACATGTTTGCCACGACATGTACATAGCCTTAACTCCATATGATGGAGAAAAGGCTTAACAGACAAGATGGCTCCAGTCAATGTAGCTTATGATAATGTTGTGTGCTAATGAATTATGTTCTTATTAGCACAAGACCGTCAATAAGCACAAAAGAAGAAAAAGCCTGTGAATAGGCAGTAATAATGAGGGATTAGTTCCAGACTGATCCTCCCACTAAACAAGTACAATAGTAACGACTAATGCAAGTGACCAGTAACATGTTTGCCACGACATGGATAGCCTGACCTCATATGAGTAAGGAAAAGCTCGAAAGACAAGATGGCTGGGTAGATGTAGCTTATGATTATGTAGTGGGCTAATGGTTTAATTTAATATTAGCACAGGACCGTAATAAGCATATAGGGTCGTGAATATGTGAAGGCAAAATGACGTAGAGACAGCATTTCCCAACAGCTACTCTCACAGAATGGTGAGAGCTAATTGGTGTTGGTGCATGCAAGTAACCAGGACAAGAATCTTAAGAGATGGTACATCAAATAACATTACCGTACATTGATCAAACATGTAATCACAAAATAGACATTTCTGCCACAACATGGATAGCCTTTCCTCATTTGATAAAGGAAGAGCATGAAAGACAAGTTGGCTCTAATTAGTGTAGCTTATGATTATGTTGTGTGCTAATGATTCAGTTTTTTATTAGCACAAGACCGTCAATAAGCACAAAAAACAGCCTGTGAATATGGAAAACTAAAAAAAGAAGATAAGTTAACACAATGGGCACTTACCAAGTGACCAGTACCTATGAACAAGAAATATTTGCCACAATATGGATAGCATCTCCAAATTTCAAATAGAAAAGGCTCGAAAGACAAGATGACAATCTTCAATGTAGCTTATGAATATGTTGTGTGCTAATTATTTAATTTCTTATTAGCACAAGACCGTCCATAAGCACAAATTGACACATAAAACTCACATAACGTACAGTTAAGATATGAAATTTCAGCCAAGGAGCTGATAGCCTTATCCCATTGACTGGAGAAAGAGCTGAAGAAGCCCAAACTGGCTCTGATAGATTTAGCTTATGAATATGTTGTGTGCTAATGAAGGCAACTAATCAGCACAAGACCGTCAATAAGCACATTCAGGTTTATCTCAATAAGGCAACATAGCATCAGTTTTCACCATCAAAAGAAGCCTGTCTAGAGCACTTAAGTAGACTACATTTACACAACTAGACACTCATAAAAGTTGCAATGCAAGCACAGCAGGCAGAAAAATAGTGGTAATACCAGATTGTCCGTTTCCAAAATAGATGATAACAATGAAGAGTAACCATACCTTGTCCTGACCCCCAACATCCCAGACGGTGAAGCTAATGTTCTTGTATTCCACAGTCTCAACATTAAATCCTGATGACACAGAGCGCAGCATTAGAAGCAGTTTAGTTGATTAAATATATTCAAGCTCTACTACTGTGGTTGGCATAAACTAACCGATTGTAGGAATGGTTGTGACGATCTCTCCCAGCTTGAGCTTGTACAAGATGGTGGTCTTACCAGCTGCGTCGAGACCCACCATAAGAATCCTCATCTCTTTCTTGGCAAAAAGCCGGCTGAAGAGCTTCGTGAATGACAGACCCATCTTGTTCTTCTGCACCAAGGGCACAGCAAATTAGCGAGCAACAATCAGAAAGTAATAACCAAAAAAAAAAAAAATCATAAGCTAAGCTCCAAGTAGCGGCTGTTCTAGTCACAGAAGATAGAAAATTAATCATCAACAATGAACATTCCTCGCAGGTTGATTGGCTTTTGCCCATTATCACTACGAAATGTTGCAAAGCATCTCATAATGGGAAAACAAGATCTGAATCCACTAATCAAACAATAAAAGCCACTACAGATGCATCATCGCTCCGATCCTTTTATTTCCCCCCGGTAACCTAACGAGAATAACGTAACAATGAAGGAGGCATCCAAATGATTCGATTACCAATAAAACAATAATCAATACACCATCCTTCATTAGATAAACACATCAAACGCAATACATTATCGGAGAGAACAAGAAGCCGGCGCGAGCAAAGAACAATAACAACGCATTAGATCTAACGTCGTTACAAAATGAATACGGCAAAGACAATTCCTTTGTCAGCTGTATAGATCGAAGAAAGGGAAAATGAATCGTAGATTACATATGACCTGAATCCAGATCTAGCTAGCTATGCGAAGAGTCGATAGAGGGGGGAAAAGAGAGATGCGACTTACTGAGAAACCAGAGGGTGGAGGAGGATCTGGCGAAGGATGAACCGGCCCTTGCCCTAGATTGGATCTCGGAGAAAGGGAAGGAGGAATGGGGGGAAAAGGGATGGGTTGGGAGAGGGACGATGCGACGGCAATGGGGGATAAAGAGAGGAGGCGGAAGCGCTACTCACAACAATTTAAATAGGTGCCAGGCCAGGTACAGCCTAGTTATTTTGCTAACTGCATAAGTTGTTAGTATATAATATACTAACTAATATCCAAAATGTATGAACTAGTATCCAAATCTACGGATTTTACTAAAGTATCTATATAGCACAGACTAGTATTCAAAACATCAGAAACTAGTATCCAGATAGCAGATACCAACTAATATCCACAATCAACCAACTAGTATTCAATATGGATACTCTTATAGGTTATATGGATACTCTTATGTGTTATCTGGATACTAATTATGTGCTGTTTGGATACTATTTTGTGTTGTCTAGATATTAGTTTGTGAATTTGGGATAATAGTTGATTTATGGTGGATATCAGTTAGCAAACTTTGAATACTAGTCTGTGCTCTCTAGATACTTTAGTACTTGGATATTAGTTCACGTAATTTGAATATCAGTTAGTATCTGCTAACGAATTTTCAAGTTAGCGGATTAACTTTCCCCGGCCAGGTAGGGGTGGCTATACGGTCCAGTCCGATCAAATTGGCACAAATTGATCCGGTCCAGTTCGGTCTTTTTGAAAATATAAGGACCAAAATTTAGATTGGATACAGTTCGGTCTTGATCCAGTCCGGTCTTGACCCGGTCCGGTCTCAATTCGGTCTTGATTTTATATTGAGCTTGTAGGGATTTGAGTGGTCTAAGGCCTGAAAGGGTGAGAAAGTTGGTTAAGTTTTGTACTAAGTGCAAAGGTTTGTGACCGTTTATGCAAATTACCCTTAAGTTTTGGGTGTTGAGCTCTCTTATCCAGTTTTTTATCTAGTCCCGAACGGTTTTTTATCTCAAATCTAAGCCCAAAGATTGGATTGACACTATTTTGAGATTGAGAAGTGGAGCTTACACTCATAACTATGTCAAAAAACCATATTGATACTACCACGTTGTCACTACCTTGGCTGGTAGCGAGAGACTTCAATCAAATTATCAGCTTCGACGAGAAAAGAGGCGGCAACATTGATGATGAAGTTACCATCCAAGATTTCGCAAATGTCCTGGCAGAAGTGGGCCTTGAAGACCTGGGCTATGTTGGATATCCCTATACTTGGGACAATGAAACAGATGGATCAAGGACAATTGAAGAGCACTTGGACCGGGCTATAAGTAGGGCTGGTATTCGGTAAACCGGTATCCGGTATTACCGGCTACCGAAATGGTTACCGACGGTATCCGGTATACCGAATACCGGCGGTATCGGTATTCGGGGAGGAAATAATCCATTCGGTAATACCGAATACTTGGCGGTAAATACCAAAGGTATTTCGGTATACCGGAATACCGAAACTTTTTAAAAAAAAGTGCAGCGCATCGTACAGGTAGGGCCGTAGGGGGATTGGATTTGATTAAATAAATCCTAAACTAAATTTTCACAATTCCCACCCGCAGCCATCCCCGACCTGGCGACCCCCGACCCTCGACCTCCCCGATTCAATCTGCTGTTCAACAACCCCCGCCGCCCCACTCCTTTCTCCTCTGTCTGATTCAATTCGTCGCCCCCAGCAGCTAGCCTCGGCTTCATCTTCCTCTTCTCGTCCCCGAAGCCCAAACTCGATCTCCCTCCCACCTCAGCCAGCAGCTGTCGTCGACGAGAAGAGCTACGCCGCATCTCCGTCATCCTCTTCACCAGCAGCAGCAGTCGTCAACGGAGAGGTAGAAGAAGAAAGGAAGGATTTAGAAAACAAAAGAAGGGAAGAAGAGGAAGAACAGGGGAGGAGGCGAGTGTTCGCTGAGTTGGAGTGCAGAGATTCCAACGGAGATGACGATTCCGAAGGCGACAATTCTTCTTCCCCATTTTCCTCGACGGTTTTCGGGATATCGGGTTCATACCGGATACCGATTAACTGGTATACCGGTATACTGACTGAAATTCGGTATCGGTATTCGGCAGCCACGATGCCATCACCCGGTATCCTGAATACCGGGTAATCGGTATCCGATATACCGGATACCGACCAATTACCAGCCCTAGCTGTAAGTAATTATGATTGGGCTCAACCTTTCCCAAATACGTTAGTCCGTCATTTAGGGAGGCCGAATTCGGATCATCGAGCCCTCTGCAATGACATGGAAGAGGGCGAATGCGAAGAAATAAGATGGGGGTCTCGTTTCCGATACGAAGCATTATGGGCAAAAGAATAAAATAGAAAGCAGGTGGTGGCGGAAGCTTGGTCTTCGGTAGGAAGTAATGACTCAATTAGGAAGGTTAAAAAGTGCAAAATGAAATTGTAGGGCTGGAGCAAAGAGAGATTTGGTAAATTAAATGAGAGACTAAAAGAAATTGACAGCAAGCTTAAGAGCTTGGAAGGCGAGCAAAGACCAGATGATTGGGTTCAAAGACGACGAGATTTGGAAAAAGAGAAGGGGGAAATCCTCCTCATTGAAGAAAAAAAATGGCGTCAAAGATCGAGGATTGACTGGCTTAGGGGTGGCGACAAAAATATAAAACTCTTTCATTGTAGAGCATCTGAATGAAGACAGAAGAACACCATAAAAAGCTCCAAAATGAATATGGTCAGATCTTGATGGGGCAATAGGAGGTGAGTAGCTGTATTCATGGTTCTAAAAAGAGCGCCTAGACACTCGTCTAAGCTCACCTAGACGCAAGTCAGAAGGAAAACGCGTCACTTAGACAAAAAATAGTGGAGAAGGCGTCACAATCACGTTGTGGCATCGATCGCGCCTAGTTAGCATGGAGTTGCACCTAAACATGATGTCACGATGTCTTTTTCTAACTTTTGATATGCTACTAGGTAGGACGGTCTTGATTTGTCAGATAGTTAGGCTAGGATATAGTTAAAGACGAAAATATTTAGAGTAGCTTCTTCTTTCTTTTTTTCGCTTCTTCTCTCAACATGCTTAGTTTTTTTCCAGCTTCTTCTTCCTTACTCATTTCTCCACACTATATTTTATGTTTTACCATGTGTTGTTGATGAAAGTTTAGAAATGAGAAGTAGATATGATGATATTTGGTTCATAAACTTGTGATTCTAAGAAAGTAGCAGATATTATGCTGCGTTTACATCTAACGCTTAGGCACGCCTAGGCGACGCCTAAGCATGCTAAGCGCAAGGCAGATCCTCAACACTCGCCTTACGTCTAACGCTTTCTTGAACCTTGGTTGTCTTAGTGATCATTATGTGGGGCTTTTAACCAGTCAAGGGGATTCAGGAAGATCGAAGGTCGTTGATGCATAAAACCAGAGTTTTTCCATAAATGAACGAGGGATTTTTCCAGAAATAGCACCTTTGAAAAATTACAAAAATAGCACCCAGTCCATAGAAATTACAAAAATAGCACCCTTTTTTAAAAACCGCACCTTAGAGGTGCGGTTTGATTATGAACCGCAGCCCCCTGGTGCGTTTTGTATGTAAACCGCACCCCCAAGGTGCGGTTTAGCATTCAGGGCCAAAACCGCATCTTGGCCATGTGGTTTGTGTGTCTGACCTAACCAACCCGCATGGCTTAGGTGCGGTCTTGTACTGACCTAGCAAAACCACACTTTGGGGATGCGGTTTTGCTTCTCCAAAACAAACCGCACCCTCAAAGTGCGGTTTTGGCAACACAAACCGCACCCCCCAATGCGGTTTGTGTGTCAGTTATTTTCCGACACCAAACATAGCCATGCAGATTGACAGACGTGGGGCTGCATGGCAGATGAAAACCGCACCTCTAAGGTGCGGTTTTCATTGATGATTTTGCCTATAAAAGAAAGCCCGGGAAACCTCTTCTCTTCACACCTCTCCTTCTCCCTTTTCAATTTTCTGTTGTAGCTCCCTACTTCTCTAGTGTTTTTGCGGTTAACGTTAACTCATAAGTTTATTGTATTACTTTTTATTGTGAATTGTGATTTGTGATTTTTATGATATTAGTTGAACTACTGTTTTTTTCAGATGGCATTCCAAAAGTTCACGCTTGGGTTACGGTGGAATGGTTACACGGAAGAGAGCGGAAAGGGGGTCACCTACGTCGGTGGCAATTTTCAGAAAATAAAGGTCGCCACCAGACCGATGCTTGAAGACCTCTATCAAATATGTACTAACGTTACTTGCATGGATGGCGCGAGAAGAGTTGATCGTATGGTGTAACGATATCCAAACAGAGAAGGCGGATTCATTGTGGCACGAGGAATATCTCATAACCACTCAGGATGAAGTAGATGACATGC